GTTTGACCTACTTTTGAAAAAAACTTTAACCTTGGCCATAACTTTTGACCAGTTGGTGCTATGGCTTTCATACTTCACTTGTGTATTCCTTGTGACAAGACCTTCCTTTGGATACCAACAATTTTGACCTTTTGACCTCGGAGTTTCACCTACTTTAATTTTGAAAAAAAATCCTTCCCCATAACTTTTGATTGATTGGAGATATGGCTTTCATATTTCACATGTGTATTCCTTGTGTCAAGACCTTTCTTAACTACCAACATCATATTTGACCTTGACCTTGGAGTTTGACCCATTTTTGCAAAATTTTATGAGACTTTAACCTTAGCCATAACTTTTGAACAATTAGTGCTTGGGCTTTCAAACTTTACATGTGTATTTATTGTGATAAGACCTTTCTTTGGATACCAACAACTTTGACCCTTTAACTTTGACCTTGGAGTTTGACCTACTTTTGAAAAAACTTTAACCTTGGTCATAACTTTTGAACAGTTAGAGTTAGGGCTTTCATACTTCACATGTGTATGCCTTTTGAAAAGACCTTCCCTTGGATACCAACAACTTTGACCTTTTGACCTTGATTTAGAGTTTGACCTACTTTATTTTTGGAAAACTTTAACCTTGGCCATAACTTTTAAACAGTTGGTGCTAGGGCTTTCATGCTTCACATGTGCATTCCTTGTGACAAGATCTTCCTTTGGATAACAAAAACTTTGACCCTTTGACCTTGGAGTTAGACCTACTTTGGAAAACTTTAACCTTGGCCATAACATTTGAAAGTTTGGTTCTAGGGCTTTCACATTTCTGAACATGTGTATCACTTGTGACAAGACCTTCCCTTGGGCACCATTTAACCTTGACTTTGACGTTTTACTTACTTAAATACTTTAACCTTCGCCATAACTTTTCAACAGTTGGTGCTAGGGCTTTCATATTTCACAAGCATATTCCTTGAGACAAGACCTTATTTGGGTACCAACATTTTTGATCTCTTGACCTGGAGTTTGACTTGCATTTGAGAAACTTTAACCTTTGCCATAAGCGGCCATATGGGGGCATCAGTGTTTCACAAACACATCTTGTTCTTCATCTATAACTGCTTTGTTGCAAAGTTGATGGTCTCCTAAAACGAATTTATCAAGGATGTTTCAACTTATCTACAGAGGATATATGAAGAGCTTAATTTAGACAGATTCTCGCATTAGCCTATGGCAAGAACAATGAGCTAAAAATTCTCTAAAAATAGCTAAATGTGTGATAGTATAAGATACATAGCATCCTATTAGCTTTGGCTAGTGGGTTAACCCTTAAGCTCAATTGGCAAAACACTGGACTGTCATGACAAAGAACAAGAATTAAATCTATTTGTAGGCACAAACATGTCTCTGTTACAAATGTACCAACAAGTGCAGAAAACAAGATGTGTTTGTGAAACACTGATGCCCTCGTATGGCAACTTACAGAGAAGGTTAAACTTTCTCAAATGCAAATCAAATATCTTGGTACCCAAAGTAAGGTCTTGTCTTGAAGAATATACCTGTGAAATATGAAAGCCCTAACAGCAACCATTAAAAAGATATGGAAAAGGTTAAGTTTTTCAAATGTGAGTCAAACATCAAGGTCCTGGTCAAAATTAATGGTGCCCAAGGAAAGACCTTCTCACAGGAAATGTGAAATATGAAAGCCCTAGCACCAACCATTCAAAAATTATGTGGGTGAATTAAAAAAAAATGACCAAACACATATTTATCAACCCACACTAAAAACACAGGCAATGAAAATAGATTTCTATGTCTCAGCATATGTCTTTAGATAGTGTCTAAATACCTGCAAAATATCTCGTTGATATCTCAATTAACAAAAAAGTTATACCCAAAAATGATGCTAAAATTGTCAGCAGTGCAACACCTTTTTGTGACATTTTGAAATTTCAATATTTTTTGGAGATCTGTGAAATAAAAAACAATGCTTCATGTTGAAAATAAAGACTTTCCTGATAATATTCAAAGTATTGAGCTTTAAATGTGGACTGTCATAACTTTTGTTTAATCAAGTTGTGGCCATGGCTGATGTTTAAAAAAATGTTATACCATGTCAGGAGTGCAACAGAAAAAATGTAATGTTGCAAAAAAACATCAATTGTAAAATTCTGACAGAAAATTAAGACAAAATAGAATTTTGGACGTGTAAAATAATGACTGATATACATTTTAAAACTTAAAAATGTTATATAAATCACAAGCAGCATTAATGAGAGTCAAGTATATGTGCATACCCAAAAATGTCAGGAGTGCAACATTTGATGTTTTGCTCCCAAGCATGAAAAAACTATTATCATTATATGATTTTCTGATTTTTATTTTGGAAAATAAAGACACAAAGAACATTTTTACCAAATAGATTTATCAATTACTGGATCTGTCTGTGCTTCAGATCCATATTTCTATGGTCAGGAGTGCAACACATTTTTTTAAAGATTCAAGTTGTGTGTCGAAAAGACTTCTATTCATGCTTAGAAGTATTCATTAATTAATAATGATCTTTTTGTATAATTTAATGCTAAATTATTGATAGTTTTATTAATAAAAATCCTTCCTTTTTCAATTTTATCAATTCAGATGTGTTTTTATCTTTTTTGTGATTTTTTTAATGAACGTTAAAAATAAACACACTAAAACATTGTCATTAAATTCAAGTAATTCCTCCTCAACTTCACTGAAACAACAGAACAAGTTCTTATGTAATTTTCACTTCACAATTCTACTTTAAAGGCCCCAATGCTTTTGGTCAGGAGTGCAACAAATATGTTAGAATTATAAATCATCCAATAAGAATAAAAATAAAGAAAAAGTGATGAGTAGAATTTTTCTGGTGGGTTATTGTGTTTGTTCTCTAAAGGAAAATATGCTTTAAAATATATTTTATCTTTTAAATATACATTTAAGCTAGTTTTTTGGCATAAAATAGGGTATAATTCCAGATAAAATGCGAATTTTAAATACTTTCATCTGTTTTAATTATGAAGTTATTGGACTATAAACATTGCACAATTTCATTACCACTTGATGTTGCCAACACTTTATGAATTTTTGTGTTCTATGGTTTTAATTTTAAATTTTACTGCAGTCAGGAGTGCAACAAACTGCTTTATAATTACCAATGCTTTTTTACTATCTTTACTAAAACAAATAAGTTGAAAAAAAATGTTTGATACTATTTGATGTTCAAATCACTATGTCTATCAACAAATTACAGAAATTTTACAGTCAATTCAGGGAATAGTTTTCATCATTTCACATATATTTTAAATAAAATTTATATATATTACACTTTGCAAATAATCATGTTTTAAGGTCTTCAAAATATGAAAAACCTGCTGTAAACGATGAAAAATATCAACACGACAAATTAATTTACAAAGTAAGAATGGGATATTGTGTGTTATAATTTTTAAAACAATGTTAAATAAAATACATATCAGATGTCAGGAGTGCAACACAATAATGTAACATAGGGTCACTTCAAAATCTAGTATTTTTTGTAAGAGAACTCGTATATAACAATTCTTTTTTGGCTTAGATTTAATTAAAGAATTGACTTGAACGGACAAAAAAGTGAATTTTGTGGAATTTTATTGCTTCATATTTTTTTCATATTAAAACTTTTCGAACCAGAATTGAAAAAATAATGTAAAATAACAATCAAAAAGCCAATTTTTTGTCACATGTACAAGAGAAGATACTCATTCAAAGTCTAGATTTAATCATTTATACCCCTTTTACCATTTTGAAGCATAAAGAACTATAATTTCTTGTGATTATGTATTTTAGAAAGTCTTTTAAGGTATAATGATATTTTCTTTTTTCAAAAGAAATTTTACTAATAAAAATTCTGAAACTTTTTAATCCAATTGTCTATTCTATTGCCACTTCAGGATTTTAAACTAGAATGCATGTGCAATATGATGATACAAGTGAAAAATATGTTATTATGTAGTTGAATTTTGCCAAAAAAATTCAGTTTGGTGGTCATTTTTTTTTAATTCACCCATGTCCAAGTTTAAAGCTTTTCAAAGGTAGGTCAAACTCCAAGGTGAAAGTTATTGGTATCCAAAGGAAGGTCTTGTCACAACATATGTGAAGTATGAAAGTCCTAGCACCAACTGTTCAAAAGTTATGGCCAATGTTAATGTTTTCCAAAAGTAGGTCAAACTCCAAGGTTAAGGTCAAAGGGTCAAAGTTCCTGGTATCCAAAGGAAGATCTTGTCACAAGGATTACATACGTGAAGTATGAAAGCCCTAGCACCAACTGTTCAAAAGTTATGGCAAAGCTTAAATGTTGGGTAAAATTTTTCAAAACTGGATCAAACTCCAAGGTCAAGGCCAAAAGATCAAATATGATGGAACCCAAAGAAAGGTCTTGTCACAAGGAATACACATGTAGAATATGAGAGCCATAGCTCCAACCAATCAAAAGTTATGGGCAAGTTAAAGTTGTTGATAAAGTTAAAGGTTAAAGTTTTGCAGACAAAAAGACAGACAGCTAGATAGACAGACAGGGCAAAGACTATATGCCCCTGAATCTTCGATTAAGGGGCCAAAAAAATCATGCTATCCAATTCAAAATCTACATTACTGTGGAATCATCATTGTTCGTGGGGGATCAATGTTCGTGGATTTCGTGGGTTACCCTTACTCATGACTTTACATCCCCACAAACATTTTTTTTGTCAACGTACTGATTAATTAAATCTACCAAATAAACGAGCTGCTCACGAAATTACATCCCCACAAACCAATAAAATTTTGCTTGCCCACGAACATTGATCCCCACGAATTTAAATGATTCCACAGTAATTGTTGAGACTTGAGATTTATTTATCTATTTGCCATACCGGTATTTATTTTCTTTGACATGGATAAAAGAGGACAAAAGTTTAATAAAGAATTGTGAATTTATTTCAAACAGATCTGCAAATAAATAAAATTTTCTCTTTAGATATATTAATAGAAAGTAAATATCTTGTACCCTTTGTACTTAAGTCAATTCAACAGTACATTTACATGTATTTAAAAATTAAATTATTATGTACATACATTTCTTATAAGTACAACACAAAGAGGCCCTCAAGTTAAATTGCTCACCTGAGTGTAATTGCCGTGAAAAAAGAGAAATAGATAAAGTTACTCCACACATAGCTACAGAGCTGCTCTCTGCTTGAGAAAATCTTTATCCAAATATTCTTAAGCAGAGATGGAGCTACAGTTCTGCAGCTACTCCACCCACAACCTATATTAGACATGTACATACATGTATATATTGTCTGGTTTGATGTTTGCTGAAATGTTTTCTTCATTTTTTATGAGATTATTGGGTCTGATGGCCCTAAGGAAAAATTTACTGCTTTGGCACCTAACTGTTTGTGCACTTTGAATCTGTACAAAGGTATGTATAGGTATAAAGACCAGTTGTAACATACAAATTATTCAATATACAAGGTATTTCTTGAATTTCCTTTTTTGTGAGTGCAAATACATGTAAAGTGAATTTGACACTAGGAGAAATCAAGTACAAATAACATCAAGCTAATTCAGAGAATCTGTGTTCCCTGCTAAAGGAAAAAAACACTGAATTACTTGATTTGGTCAGATTTACATTTGTAAGAAATTATGGACTCACATGGCACCCTACACTTTGCCCTGAAATCATCTGTTAAAAACAATTATAAATATTTGATATTATGTAGCATGTTATTATTTATAAGTTAGTTTATAAGCTTGTTCCAAGGAGAATAGATTTTCCAGCTAGCTCTATATTTGCTGATACTTAAATCTCCATACTGTTTGGATAAAATTTATACTTGAGAAAGATGTTAAACTTCTAAGGAAGTTGAGGTTACCTTATTTAGCAGATGGACACACCAGTCCACTACACAGATCAACAACAGGGAAACTTTGATCAAAAAAGTTATTAATCTTCTGTTAATTAAGTTACCATCCATGTAAGAGGCAATAATTAATAGAAAATTCAGGAAGCACTACGTTTGTGTAGAGGAAGGAATGTACAGATACACAGATTTACACTTATTTCATAATTTAAAAAAAAAAGTATCTTTCATGTTTATTAAGCCCTTAATTGTATTGTGTAGATCTTCTGTATTATAAAGGTTAAGTGGAAATTGTAGTATTGCTGATATCATATATAAATTATATTTTCCATTTCAAAGCAATATATTTAACTACAATGTAGTAGTAAATAATACAAATCATGATTTATACACCATATTTATAAACAGGTACATTATAAGCTTCCAGTATCAATACACATTTAAAAGACATTATTAATTTCAGACTAGAGAGGGAACAATTTAAACCTTAACAAAGTGCCTCAGATTCCTGAATTATTGAACACATTTTTTATATATTCTGCTATACTTGTAGAAGTAACTAATGGTACATGTGTGATTGTAGACAGATTAAGCATTGCAGGCGTAGTCACCACAGATGTAAAAGGGAAACCAGAAGTCTGGTTCGAGTTCTGATGGTCGTCTGGGGATGAGTGTTCTTTCACAATACCATATATAGATAACCCCACATCGTATATCACAGCGAAGCCAAAGTACAACGGAATCAAGTACAATAAATATCCAAAGAGGGATGGAATCGGTAAAGGGATCTGCTGTTTCCTAAAAAATTACAGATAGTAATATTAAATGGATAATTAAGAAATCTAGTTCAGCTTAAACCATGGGAAATAAATTATGAAAATTATTATGAAAATTTTGCATTTTGTTAAATTAATTATTCTATACATACAGATTTTCTTTTCTCCTGGCATTAAGGCACATTAAAAATATAAATAAGGCCACTTCTATATTGATAGTAAAGGAGGAGAATTTTTCCAATATTTCAACAAATCCCTGAAAAAAAAAAACAACAATGGTACATAGATGAATTTTAAAATTGGAATGAAAGTAATCTTTCATTTTCAGTAAGTTTTGTGTTACATTTAAATTTTTGCTTTCTAGAATAAACAGATTTTTTCCTTTCAGCAGCATGTTTTTAGACTATAAGTATAATATAATTATTAAAAAATGTTTGGTTGCCTTTACCTGAGGGTCTAACATTGAGATACCAAAAACAATGGAAAATACTACAAAGGAGATAACAGAGCTGCAAAAGCTGAAAATAAAACAAATATAATTAACTGGACACTCATAGAAAATTAAAATTACATATAAATTCTATTGCAGAAATTTTCATTTCCTGTAAAATTTCAAAGAGGGAACCCATGTAATTATTAGTTACATAGTTTTTTAGTGACAGGGTACGGGATGATACCTGGTTAGTAAATTTCATACCTGGCGAGGCAAAGCCAAGCCAGGTATGGAATTTACTAACCAGGTATCATCCCGTACCCTGTCACTACAAAACTATGTAACGAATTTACCCCACCGATAAAATATTTATGCATTGTCTGTGGTTTGTAAAATTGTTTTTCTCTTTCTATATATGTTTCATCACTCATACAATGCCTATTATGATGTCACGTTGTGTGACGTAATGTTGTTTTGCGAGTGTTTCGTGCTGTAATAACGTACTGACAGTTTTGAAGACTTTCAGTAAAGGGAAAAAAAGGTTCCATCTTCGTTACTTACATTAGTTAACTGTAACATTGTCAACAGACACTCGGCAAATCGCGTGAACTCGAGTTGTTCGAACGTTACAAAAGAACGATAACTCCGTATCGACAATGTATTGATTTTCAAGCGACTAAGTATAAGTAATACACCCCCTTCACGTGACAGACTTCAACCAATCGTAAGCCAGGATTTCATCGAAAAATCAACAGAGGTGGAGTAATACGTGATACCAGGCACTAGATATGCATTTCTGTTACCACTGATGATGGTACCTGTTCTCCAGACCAATGACATACTCAAAACTAAGCAGTTTTTTTACAAGTATCATCAGTTGCTATAATTTGGTTTGGTTGATTAAAGAATTAAAGAATTATTTTTTCAGCTAAGGAGTATAAATCCATTTTTAAGTTTAAAGCTTAATTAAGGGGAGACAAAAATTAAAATCCAAATTATGGCAAAGAAAATCACGTTTCTTTGGTTTGCATTAATTTTCTTTTGATTTTCAATATTTTTTCAGATTTATCATAGGGAGTGTCTTGTTTTACGTGTAAACCCTCTTAATAGTAAAGCAAAAATTCTTTTTCTCGTAAAAGACTAATTTCCTATATAGACTATAGGTCCATAACTAAGGTGTTCCAAGGAGCATGTGAGTTGCATGCAGGATTTTTATGTGAAACTAAGAACGCTCTCAGACAGATTGTTGCACAGACAATGGACTAAGTGATCTTTATGATGTTCTGAAGGTGTCCCACAAAAGCTGTATCAGACACAGGCAGTAAAACAGTTACTCACCATTTGGCATTGATACACCTAACCTTCTTCTGTGTTCTATATTCTGTCAGTTTATCTTTTTTCCAGGCAGATTCAAGCCACCCTAATACTGAACAAATATACTATCTATTACACTCAGAGTTTTGGAGGTTGAATTTTTAATTATATTGAATTTTTATACTCCTAACATAGTCACTTCTTGATAAAGTAAAGTAATTTTCAGTCTAAGGTTTCAGGGTAAGGAGAACCAGAGAGTCTCAGAGTCCCCACGACACTGAAAGGAAGTTGTGCTTTTTCCTATGTCTGTGAGTCTGCAATTAATTATCATGTCAAAAAGTTGCTTACAGGTTTCACAGAATTTCAAGGAAATTGTCTCCCTTCCAGGAAGGAAAAAAAAATACATGTTTGGTCATTTTTGCGTTAGAAACTTGAGGATGCAAAATATAAAGCATGGTCACATAAAGATAAGTTATAATGCAACATGACTGAAGAGAGATAACCCACATACATGTACATGTAGTAAAGTTTCAATGTAAGGAATTTTATCAAGTTAATTTGTGCCTAAAAAATGTGAATTAGCAGGGGAATTCAGTCTATAATATCAGTGTAATGATAAAGTTTGAGATTAATTTGTGCCTAAAAAATGTGAATTAGCAGGGGAATTCAGTCTATAATATCAGTGTAATGATAAAGTTTGAGATAATGAGGGTTTGACTGTATCCTGAAATAATTACTTGCGAGTGTAATTGAGGACAAATGAGTTTGAGATAATGAGGTTTGACTGTATCCCAAGATAATTACTTACGTGTATGATGGAGGACGGCTCCTACTGTGAGGAACGAGACCGTGATGCTGACCATAATGAAGAGCTCAACAAGAAAAGCAACCCAGGCAAAAGAGGGGTAACGCTCCTTAATAATCTATCAGAAAAAAAGATACTGTAAAGCAGTCAGAGTATGAATTATAACATTACAGATATTGTAGTCTCTGTAAGGAGTCATACCTCAGTCAATGGAATAGTGGAGATCTCCCCATCACTTGCTGACCTGAAATCAAAGATAGTGAAATTACTGTAAGGCACGAGTGAGGTCAAGGTCATTATCACTATATAATACAATGGATATGTGTAGATCTGTAATGATTCGGCAATATTTATTTGCATGTGTCCTAGAGCTGTGCATGTACACTTTGGGATAAATTATATACATTTCATTATTGTTACCTCTGTAAAGAGATGTTGCTGTGACAAGATGTTCCCTGAATATGGCTGGAATGTGAAGGACACGGGAAGGTGGACAACTGGGGAACAATGTCCAGCACTGCCCAACACCTATAACAGAAATATAGCACATAGGCACAACATGTTAATGCATTAACACAGAATAAACACCTGTTACAGAAGTTTTACATAGACCTGTACAAGAATTTACAAAGAACCATAGGCACTTGATGTTTTTCATTTCTTTTTGTAACAAAAATCTCCATAATGTAATAATAACAAGGTTCGTCACCATTCCCCTTTTGAATTTTTCACTACAGCTACTTTGCCTTGATTTTTAGTCTGTGTTCAGAATTAATGGACACAGCCATTTCCCTCAAAAGCTGTGGAAATATCATTGTTCGTGGGAGATCATGGATTTCGTGGGTCACCCTTATTACCCAAAAATTTACATCTCCATAACGTTTATTTTGTAAACATATTGATCATTGAATCTACCATATAAACGAGTAATCCATGAAGTCACATCCCCATGAAAAAGTGACAATTTGCTTGCCTATAAACTAGGGATGTCAATTTTATTCGGACAGCTTAGTCGAATAGTCGGAGGCTTTAGTCGAACGATAGTCGAATATTCGTTGAAATTTAAATTAATGTTTCATGTCATCTTATTATTTTTCTTTTATAGACTAGTTGTACAATATTTATACTATGCTATCAACATTATACAACGAATCTCTGAATCGTAAACATTTACGCTGTACAATAAATACATCTACATGCATCCACTGTATTTGATTTCAAATATAATATTTATTTCACATTTTATCTAAATGCAGAATATCAAACACTGGCATTTGTTCTTTTTTTTTCATAAGGCTGGTACATGTACCCGTTACTTGAAGTCATTTGTACGTGTTTTGTTAGTGATCTATAGCTATGACTGGTAAACAATTAAAGCGTGTCTCTTATAAAAACAGAGAGAGCTTGCGATAAATTTTAATTATGAGATTTTGTGCAAACAATCAATACAATCTTAAAATGACTGTATGATATTAATATCAGAAAGAAACACCATTTAATTACGCTCATAACTGTCCCCCAATTTACATGTATTTACAATTTTGTAACAGCTGTTTAATTATTCTTTATGAATAGTTGCATTACGTCAAATCTTATGGAATTGCAGGTTGAAACTTTATTATTTAAATCAAAACCAAACAATTCTTGAACGCCCTCTCCATTTACAACAATAAGAGGTAGACATTCCTTGATAATCATGTTTGTGTTAGCAACATTTTCCTTTCCGGCTCTGCTTTTTTGTCATTTTTGCGGAGAAGTTACTAAGAAAGTTTTACTTTTAAGACTATATGTTTGACGGATTTGGCATATGATACATAATATTTGATGTTCCACTGCAGAATACAAGTTCAGTTTCACAGAAACTTGATAACTTACTTTTCACTGTTTTTCCATCCTAACATCATATAAAGTATGCCAAAAACTGTAGTTTTTGGAGGCATGTTTGCCGAACATAAATCGACATATACATAATTTCCTTTGAACAGTTAAACCTTATCCCGAGTTTTACTTCCGAGAACATTGATCTGTAAATAAATGAAATGGGCAGATCCAAGTTCATTACCTTGAATTTAAAATTACTATTAGCTAACACATTTTTAACGAGTAACCGACTAAAGAAATTTTAGTCGATAGTCGGTATGATCGAACGATAGTCGAGTACTCGAATATTCGTTGACATCCCTACTATAAATATTGGCCCCCACGAATTAAAAAGATTCCACAGTACTTACTATAACCATGTCTCAACTTACATTCTATTTAATTGTAATCACTCCACATCCATTCATTTATTGAAATATCACTCCAAACTCAGTCTACTGCTTTTGAATCAGTATAGCTATATATAGGCTCTTGACGTTTTTAACATTTCTTTTTATAACTTAAAATTCTCTATAAGTATAATAATTATTATAGTATGGAATTTAAAAAAAATTTCAATAAAGAGAAATATTTAAAATGTCAAGTGCTTGTGAAAACAACATACTTGTACATACCATAATATATTAAGAATGGTACATGTGATGAGGCCTAGGTTGACTGAGAATCTGAAGTTTTGGATCTGGTTTTTCACTGGACTTATCTTGCTGTACATTAGAGGCATAGTGTTCACAACACCACCTACAAGTTGAAAATATAGTGTTCACAAAACCGCCTACAAATTAAAAATATAGTGTTCACAACACCACCTCCAAGTTAAAATTTGAGTTAAATATGTCATAAGATAGAAATAGTAACTAAACCATCTTGATAGAGACTAAAACTGCCAATTTCTTCCCAAATATGTTGCAAGAATCCGTTAGTTACAATGTTTTCAATCTCACAACTGCTAAGCTATGATGCCTCAACTGCTCAACAATGACATACAAGTTAAAATTTGAGTTGTTATTACATGGTATCTTGAGAAATAATTAATTACCTTGAATATTTATCGGGTTAAACCTTTTTAGAATATGAAAGAATTATGCAATGTTAGATAATCTTGAGTATTATTTTTCTTTTTTTTTTAAATTTTTCTGACTTGTTTGTACACTAACACACCTACACACAAACCCACATCACATACACACGCACATTAGCAATGCTATCTCCCCTTCAGAACTTGTTGTTCAAGGGAAAAAAATAATTTTCTAAGTACATGTACATATATAGACTTTTGTTGTCTACATGTACTTGAGAGAAGCTTTCACTTCTCCACTTACCAAGAGCTACAGTTCCCATTAAAAATGGTCCTCCAAAGGCTGAGAAATCATTGTGAATTTCTCTGTGTATCTCTGCACCAACATAAAATGTAACTCCTACCTAGGCAAAAATAAAGAGCAATATAAGAATGTTGATTGCATGAAATCCAAGACTGCCATCCTGTAAATCCTTTGAAGATAAAATAAAATGTTCAGCTTAAACTGATTTCTTGCCAAAACTTAAACCAAGGAATGATAATTTGAAGAATTTTTTAGAGAACAGAATTAAAATAAAGGTAAAGTAGAAAACTCAAAACATAAAATCCTGTAAGGTGGTAGATTAGTTTACTTACTGTTCCTAGGAGAAGTGATCCTTTGAAGAATGTTAGAATAGAGACCACAGGCTGTACTAGTTGTAGAGCGAAGATGATGAGAAAAGTGAGAACCCAGACAAACACAGGGATCACATAAATGTAACTGAAAACAAATGTAGAGAGGTACATGTACCGGTATTTAAATATTATACAAATAATTTATTGTGATAATCAAATAACAAGATGTAAATAGAGTACAAATTTTATGTGAGGCTATATAGCTTTAAAAAATATTTTTCTTGATCCTAGATTTTAAAATTTGATTAGGAAGGTAGAACATATTTTCCCCTTGGAAAATTAAATCTGTTGAAATGTAATTGCTTTCTATAATAATGACAACATATCAATCTATAACTTGTCTTTAAACTTTTATATATGTAGTATAGGTTTTACTGCAGATTAAAAAAAATCAGATTTCATACATTTAAAAAATATTGAGAAAGAAAAAAAATTCATTCGATTGAAACAAGTACAAACAAACAACTTTTTTCATTGTAGCCTGAAGTAAATATAGAATACATATATAATATCTACTTCTTTGGTACATTGTACATACTTACTTGAGCTTCTTAATTGTAAATACTTGCATGAGCCTCTGTATAATGTACATACTTACTTAAGTTTTTTGTATATTGTACGTACTTGACTCCTAAGACCTGAGCATAGGCTTCACTTCCTGCCAGGGAGTAGCTGATTAAGAGAGCAACACTAAAAAAGACAACAGGTAATTTAACACACTATCTTTTAATTTTGCTTCAATTTGTGGGAAAAATATGTCAATTGTCCAAGGCTCTGATGTTTACAATCATTGCAAAAATCGTTAATCTCCATATTAACAAACAAAGGAGTATTTTACTGTTGATATAAAACTCACAACTGTAGAACTAGAGTGATATCAAAGGCCTGCAGGAGTCCACATCCGAGGAACAGCTCTCCCAGCAGGTGTAAATTTGGGGGTCTGGCACTGTCTTGTTTGGGTAAGATCACATGACCAGCCAACACCGATCCTAAAATCAGGTATTTTTACTGTGTACAATATATATACTGTACGAAACTTCATCATAAATTTTGCTATTTAATTTTGTATCATGACAAGAAACCAGTGAATTTTTTAAAAAGACTCTGAAAGAATTGAATCAGTCTGTTAAAAAGAAACTTCATGCATTAAAGTTAACTATAAAAGTTAAGTACTAAATTTTGATACAACAACAACTGCCATCCTTCCAGTGTAACTAAATGTTCAATTGAAAATTTTTTCTCAAGCAATCTGGCATAGAAGCTCACAAAACCTGGCCACTTATAGACCACGGAGTCAGAATCATTACAACATTATTTGTTTTTGATTCCTTTTCTAACATTTCTAAATGGCACTACACTCAAAGACAAGCCCAAGTGACCATATCATCTTTATCAAATTAAAATGCATATAATTGAACTTTGGTATCTCAAAAATTCATATTTCGATTACGACAGAGTGTGAAGAATTAAGTCCCAACTACTTTTTCTTTATATATTTTAACTTCAAAATCTCAAATCCTCAGAAATCTTGAAGATACTGATTCAAATTAATATCCCATTGTGTTCAAAATAATGAGGTTGGACTGTATTTGATTTTAATTAATAGCTCTGTTGTTTCAACACATTGTTTCCTTTATTGTGAATAGGTTTCAAACCACATCTGATTCTGTAATATTCCAAAGACTCATATGTTCTAGTTTGTATAAGCTTTCTAGACCTAAATAAATTACCAAATTATCATCCTTGGTAAAGCGTACTTCACAGTTATAAACATGTATGTAATCAATACTGAATGAAGAACAAAATAAGCACACAGAAAATAATATGCACTAGTAGCTGTCAAATGCAGCTAGCACTACATATCAAAATGCAGGCAAACAAAGATGTATAAACTTGAGATTTACAACAAATTCCTTATACCTCTGCAATTTTCTCAAGTATCTACAAAAAATGAATATGATCAATACATAAGTGGGACAGGATGATAATACCTGGAACACACACAACCAACACCAGGTGAATATGTTACTATGGCAACAATCCTCACCACTGGTTTCATCCTCCTCTTCTAATTCATCACATGTCTCATCAGCCAAAAGATCATTCAGGGGAACTAACTCCTCCTTCATTAAAACCAAGAACCAATTACATGTATTTAAAGATTTGTAAACATTTATCAAACATTACCATAGAATAATTTTACCAAATACCAGGTATAATCAAATTATGCACAACCCGATTCATGATATTTCTAGCACAGCTAGTAAAACAAAGGCTTAACCCTGGTGGAGTAAAATTGATGGGACACAGCTCCTCCTACATGTTTGAATCTTAAATGGAATTAACTAGCTCTCATCTATTTTAAGCAATCACAGAATCTAAATTTCCCCCTAGTCTTTAAAATACAATTCCAAGGAGAACTCACCATCAAGGGGAACTAACTCTTATATGGTGAGATATATGCACTAAAACTAGCTAATACTGGTGTGTGTAATTTTTGTGTGTTTTTCCAGCAACAAATTTTATTCTAATATGATATCTACAAAAACATACATCAGATATCTTACCCATATCCTTCTCCTGACCGGCTGTACATTTAGTTTATATGTTACATTAACAGCTTTAAAGTACAAATATAAATCAATATTCTAAAATCTTAATTAATATTCAAATCAATAGATAAAATCTTTACCTTTTGAGTTTGAGTCTGGGATGCATGTGCCAGCTGGAGAAGCTCTGTGAAAAAATAGACAGTCAGCACCTGCAAAATCATTTCATAAATACAGTATACCTGTACAGCAATCCAATTTGGCAAATTTTATGCTTGTAAATTATGTGTATAATTTTACAAAGCAACTTTCTCTTCATTAAAAGGAATTAATTTATAAGAAAACATTTTTTATTTTGAAACAGGAAATGGAATGGACAAAAAGTAACAGATCAAACCAGGACCCCCTTGATCTTTAAGACATAAACTCTTCCAACAGAGCTTATCTAGAAGGCCAATGGCCTGACTAGGAAACAGGGGGTGGGTTTGGGGTTAAAAGGATGGATTTTTTACTCCCATCCCCAATAATTTTGCCTATACATTGGAGCCTCTTAATTTAATCTAGACACTTCATTAATCTGATAATTTGCTTGGGAACACAAACATCCTGATTAACAAGGTAATACTGTATACATGTACATGTACTATACACATGATACAATAGAAAACAAAGCTACTTTAGGATGGATTCTTCTCATATATCTTATAATGGCAGAATCTTGATTTTCTGAATACTCAACATTCAGATTGTGTACATTATTTTAACATCAAAAAACTTGGTGTCATCAGCCTCAATTTTCGGTCAAGGTCATTTGAAAGTAAGTCCTAAAAATAGTACTTTTACACAGGGAAGTTTTGAAATTTGTGCACATGAATAAATTTTGATGACTGAAAAAATATCTTTCACCCTAAAATTAAAGTTGTTAATTATTTTTGATCACTAGTTAATATGAAATGAGCTGGTGAAAAGAAAACATGAAAATCCTTCATATTCAATAAATACATTTAATCTGAATTCCCTCTATATATATATTTTTTCAAAATTCTCAGTTTTCATGAATTCACATGAAATTTCATTTCAAGTGTTTACAATTGACCATATAATGTCAAATATTAAGATTTTTTCTGATAAATATTCAAAGGTTCAAGATTAATTTACAAGGTAAAAAAGATATGGTAATCAGGCAAATTATAGAAAAAAAAATAGCCCAAATTTACTCTACACTTTCTGAAATCGTCAATTTACAGAGTGTTTTAAAAATCTATAAGAAAGATTTTTAATCACCAAAAATATATAGAAATTTGGTGTAATTGTGCAGGCCTTTCAAAATCTGCCGGTACCCGGTACTTTTACCTGGCTGAAATCATGATTGTACCCACCAAAATATTTGATGGGGAAAAATTCTTTAACATACATGTATTTGATTAAAATCACTTCCACAAGGTACCTCCTATTTTTGTAAAAATATCACCTGTTTCTGATCTTTTTGAAAGCCCTGATTGTGACATATATACATTCATTTCTACCAGTTATACATTTCATACATTTTTTCCATTGTGCCCTCCCCCCCCCCCCCCCCCCCCCCCCCCCCCCCCCGCTGACTTTGATTCCTCTGGGCCTGTATGTCTATGACATTAGGAAACTTCAGCTGGACTGCCCCACTCCATGCATTAAAAATATCTAACCTGCATAAAAGCACCAAAAAGGAAAGACACCAAGAAGGGATAGATACCGGATTCACTCAATGTAACTGGAAGACCTATTTCAAAAGGAAAACATTGTTATTATGCATTGTATAAACATTTTAGGCCTTTATCAATACACCACAGACCCTGATTATGAAGCATTAAATGTATTACGATACAAAGTCATCCAAATCGCATACCTAATATTCCAGTACCCAGTATTGTGGCTATTGTAACAAAATCTACAAAGTTCAAACATACCATTAAAGCTAAACAGTAAGTGAATGCAATCAGGTAATAGTGACTGTGTAAATAGGATGATGTATTAATATCAGATTATTTCATTTCTGCGATGAAATCACAATCATTATTGAATTATACGCTTACAACATTGTAGGTAAACGAATATTCTCCCTCCCTTCTTTGTGCCCTCACCCATACTGAATATATTTACACCTTTGAGGTGATGTTTACATTTTGTATCTCGTCCACGTCAGTTTGGTCGAAAGTGAAAGTAGCTAAGTAAGAATATTAATCCGCATTCTTGACTTTGCATTTTCAAACAAAGATAAAAAACATTTCAGCCCTACCAAATATTTCTCTGTATTTTTTTATTTTTCAAGATTGTCAAGTTTTTTATCTGCGTCTTTATGAGTTGAATAAGAAGTTAATTGGAAATTATTTTAAGCGGAATCATATTGACCTATATGTTGTTCGTCAGCCGGTGCTTGAAGAGATTGCAGTGGGAGTTTCGGCAAAGTTTGTAAGTAAATTGCCTAAGATAGTTGTTGGCAAGCATTATTAACCAGTGCATTGTAATCCATAAACACGACGCAAGTAAGCTTCACACGTATAGTGGTGAAAACTACTTTCTGAAACATGACTATGTGCGAGTTTTTGTACAGCGTCTCGAATTGCCTCAAACACGCGATAAAATCTGAAAATGTATGGAATAACACTTGGCTCTTGAAATAACAGCAGATTATGGATCATTTAGGGAGAGAAGGAGACCTTTACAAATATGTTTCTTGTACATAATGAGAGACTCGTGTCTTTACATAATATGAAAGTCAGGAATATCCAGAAAGTGCATTACACTGACAATACAGCAGGGTTTTAAACTAACTTGTAATCCTTGATAGCCATGTGGGCTACTGAATCTTGCAATTCTGGGGCCCACATCAAAATTAATTTGCCCACAGATTATCACACCTTCTATTGAATATAAAAACAACAACCCCATTTTTCGTTTTTTTTTTATCATGTGCTTCATGTTTCTTTTCTATCCGTTGTAACTTTATGCACGCCTTATTTAAATTTGAAGTGGAACTCTTCTGTTTATGAAGATTGATATGATCATTCAATATCATAGAGCACATGGCACGTTTTCATTCACAAATAACAACAGTACTTTTTTGTTTCTTGGGCATTGACCCGTCGATGCCACATTGTGCGCGACACAATCACTTAGATGCTTTATGTATAAGTACTTCTTACGGGTAATTATAAAGCACTTTACTGATTACGAAATTTTTCAAGAGAAAAATACAAAACATTCGGACAAAATTGAAAAACAAATATTTACTATCGTAAATTTTCAAATCACCATGTGGGCAACTTGAACGTAATTTTAAGTCGCCCACATGGAACATTAGTCGCAAATTGCGAGTGGGCGACTGTTAATTTCAAACCCTGTACAGATAGTTTTATTGTATTTTATTTCCTTTATATACTTTTCTACAGACCCTTCAATACCTCCTGAAAGAAAAATTTTATTAGTTTGGGTCTGTTGGGTGTGTGCCCAGACCCCCAGTTGCCACCAAGATCTCAAGCAATGGCTTGATCTACTGATAATAAAATTACAAGATTTACCAACTAGGTGCACATTTTGTCTCATAAATTTATAGGTGCACCTGGATGCTTAACCAAATTATGAAAACCATTCTGTAAAAAAAAGATATCTCATAGTGACAATGCATAATTGTACCATTATGACAGAACTACAGTCTTAATCCAGACTGTCAAAAGTTTTAAATCACAGTAAGACATTAGATCTGACACAGATGAAGTTCTGTCAGACTGGAGGAGGTTTTTTCAGACCAGACACAGGAACCTTTTTTAATAGAAAGAAAAATAAATGATTGCTCCATATCTTTTCTTACCAGGTAGAAAGCATTTAACAAAATTAATCAGTCACATGACCATTTTTGTTTATGTGACCTTGACCTGTGCATCCCAATCCTGATCTTTTAATAATCATGTTTTGTCTGATTTTATTGAAAATGTCATTTGGACCAACATTTTAAAGTGAGTTATTGGTCCAGACAATTTTTTACTGGTCTCGCCCCCCAGGACCAATGCTTTTTCAACAGCTCAAACATTTTAAGAAGATGTTGAAATATAATGTCTTGACTAATGTCTCAGCTTAAGAACAAACTTAAATTTCCAACCAGCAAAGTTAAAAATTCCAGATTTCTTCCAGAGTCATAATTTGAGTATTGACAGTGTTACAGTGTAATTAACTGTGACAAATGGAAAATATACTAATTAAAAACTGTAATGGTAGGCATGTCTGCTACTATGTGCCATTAATTATAAAGAAAATGAAGCATAGTAAGTTGATCTGGATCCAGTTGAAAAAAAAAACAATGAAACTTGAATGCTGAAATGTACAAAGAGAAGTAACTTGGCACGAGTAAATACATCATGTGTATAAAGAACAGCTTTTAATTCCAGTCATATAGAGATTGTCGATTTTTACATCAAAACATTGGTTATGTTTTAGGGAAGAACAAATGATGGGTGTAACACATGCTCATTTTGTCCCCTTTTTCCAAATTTGGCACTGAATTCAGATATATAAGCTTTATGCAGTGTTGTGTGCACTTTACTGTTATTTTAAATCATGCATATTTTCTTCTAAAGATCAACCATGGCTTTGACAGAAGTATCAAGCAACAAAATGTTTGGAGGTTACCAGAAGGTTTTCAGTCATGAAAGGTATGAATTAATATTGCTTACATTTGTATACATTGTATAGGTACATCATACAGAATTACATGCTACACATCTGTACTACTACTTGTATTGAACTAACAGAGAAATGTCAGGGTTCTAAAAAAACTGAAACCTACTAATTACCCTAGCTAATACCTGATTGCTTATAAAGGCATATTGCCTTAAAATTCTATGGAGAGAGCAGTTATCTGATAATTTTGAATGTGTCTTCTCAGATTTCTGGAGAAGAGGGGATAAAGAATGTTATTTTTTTTTTCAGTACTGAGGTTAAGTGTACAATGAAGTTTGGTGTTTTCCTTCCTCCCCAGGCGGAGAGTGGCAAATGTCCCGTTCTGTATTGGCTATCAGGTAAAATATAGATATAAGATGATCTCCCATAGTTTGTGATTGGATATGATTCTTATCAAATGAGTTGTGTGTTTTCTTTCCCTGAGCCTTGGTAAGGGGATAGAAAAATACGAGTTGGATATGAATTATATCCAACCACAAACTGGGAGATTCTTTTTATTACGTTTTACGTAATGGATATATGCCGAATACTGTTCTATATGTAAAATTATCAGACTGTTTGAGGCCCGTTTGGGCCAAAAACAGTCTGATAAGTAATGGATATATGCCAAATACTGTTCTATATGTAAAATTATCAGACTGTTTGAGGCCCGTTAGGGCCGAAAACAGTCTGATAATTTTACATATAGAATTGTATGAGGCATATATCTTACTTAAAACATTGCTATTTAAATATCCAAAAGTTACCTGAAGGAGTCTGATAATTACACAATAGGAGTTCAGGCATCAATAGTTTTCTTCCTGAAACCATCTAATAAGTAGACAAAAGAAAAGAAAAAGTTTTTTTTCTTTAGACAGTAAAACCAGTGAGTGAACTCTTTTGTTTCATTCATTCACTCAATGGCAGTCGTTTGGTTAAGCAGGAACTATGGACAGTGGTCAGGTGATGAAGGATTTTTTTTTTATGATTCGGAATATTTCTTTTATCAAGTGCATTTGACATTGATACAGATACAGTGTTGGATGATATCTTCAAAATGCATTAAAAGTAAAAATGTGGATTTTTATCTAAAATTTTGATTGGATGATATAATGAAAATCTTGGGTTTTAAAAGTGCAGTCATCATGGTCATTGGCGAACAAACCTCGTTAAATGAAGAGATTTGCAGACTGGTTCTTTATCAGAAATGGATTTAAATTGGCTTATTCACAGTGCTGTATCGAAAACACTTTGCAAAAAAACCGAATGGAAAGTGTTACTTTTGAGGAAGGTTAAAATTCCAGTTTCTTCTTGGATTTGCTATTTTGACAACTTAATTTCCTCGCGTTCGCTTTCCCTGAATTTTTTCTCCCTAATGTTTTTTTTTGTTTCTGGACAAATTAAACCTTGATTTCACTCTTGTTGTTTTTTAACTACTGTCCGATTTTGTTATCACTGCCATCCGATAATGTATTATTGGACTGCTAATTACATGTATTATTATCGGACGTCTACAGGTAAATTTTTAGACTGCAAGAACAAAGGCATGACGTCACAGCAATGTTTTAAACATAGTTAATGCCTATCACATGTTTTACACTGTTTTTTTTTATGTGAATCCACTTTAAACGACTTCATATCTTTCACTCAAAAGCCAGTGTGAGGTCACAACTATGGATATGAAAACGATATCATATGACCTATATATGCACAGTATAAAGGAATAAACATGTAATAAAATTTTATTCTGAAATCTGGAAAGTGTATAATTCTCATGATAAAGAACTAACAAAGATACATGTAATAATTTAAAATGTACAATACATTGTAAAAGAAGAAATAATTATATTATGAGTAAATTTGATGTACGATTCCACATATGTTTAGGGTTGACCTGCACTGAACAGAATTTTGTAACAAAGGCTGGAGCCCAGAGAGTAGCAGCTGAGCTGGGGTTTATTATTGTAGCCCCAGACACCAGTCCAAGTAAGTCATAGTAGTAGCTTAGCCATGCATGTCAAAAAGTTTTCAGAGAGAGAGAGAGAGAGAGAGAGAGAGATTAAAGGGGAATAACTCTTTCTCAGAAACATGATGTGACTTGATATGATTTGAACATATTTTAAATATTGTCTTTAAATTTTACAAATGGGATCTGGGAAAAGTTCTAAAAACTAAATATGCCCTTTCCCTACATGTGAGTTATATCAAACATATTTACACTTATGGGTCACAGTCACAATGAATAATAAAATGATTCCTGTTTATATGAGTATTGTCTGTAAATGATAAGAAGGTAAATGTTATTTCTATGCTAAGTAAACTGCTTTGGATCACTTTATATTTCTTTGTGATTCATTAGGAGGCTGTAACATAGAAGGAGAGGAAGATGGCTGGGATTTCGGGACAGGGGCCGGATTTTATGTCAATGCTACTCAGGACAAATGGAAAAACAATTACAGAATGTATTCCTATGTCACAAAGGAGGTAACTCTGATCATGTTTGTCTATTACTTTTACTTTTCATCAATCAGGCAGTTAACGTATTTAAAAGTTTGATGAATTCTATGTAAGAAATATTGATTTAAAGAGAATTGGTTTCATACCATTTATTGTTTTTTTTTTTAGCTTCCAGATTTGGTTAATTCCAAATTTCCAGTACTAGCAGATAAACAGGGCATTTTTGGACATAGGTAAGTAGATTATTTTTTTTCATCTTGAATTCCTGAAGTAATTGAAAATTGACTCTTGTGTCCGGGCAGTATGGACCATGGATATCGGCCTGGGTAACTCATTGGTTGGAGCACCTGACTGGTGATACAGAGGTTCTGGAGTTGATTCCCAGTCCAGACTTACATTTTCTTTATTCATTCCTCAAATCCTTTTTCACTAAAATTGGTTCTTTAAATGGTAGTACTGATTTGCTATATTAACAAAAAGTTATTCCTCATTAATTAGGACCTCTAATTCCATAGACAGAAATGTGTCTAATGAAAGCATTAGACATGTTTATAGTAAAAGTGTTGTGAATGATAGATTGATTTTTTTGTTGTTGGTGGAAATGGTGGTGGAGACACATCCAGTTAGAATTACTTGTCACTCCATGTCATCCATTTTTATTTCTTTACAGTATGGGGGGTCATGGAGCCCTGATCTGTGCACTGAAGAACCCTGGGAAATATCTGAGTGTTAGTGCATTTGCACCCATTTGTAATCCTATCAACTGCCCCTGGGGGAAGAAAGCTTTCTCTGGTTACCTTGGAGACAACCAAGAAGACTGGAAGGTATACAAAACCATCAAAATGTTTAAAATAACTAGTCTCTTAGCATGGCAGAAATCCATGTTTTATGTATACTAATTACTTATTTTTCACAAGAGTTTAATTTTTGTGTAATTATGCCAGAGTGTCTGCTGGTGAAAGTATCATTTTCATGTATATTTATACATATATACAGCTAAGGACAAATTTGTGATTTTGTTTTAGCTAATAAACACCAAATACCCGTAGATATTGTATCTTGGGAAGATGAGGTAGGTGATGTACATTGTAAATGTTTTATTTCAGTTGGTTTAATTTTTTTTTTTTTTTTCGCAATAGGAGTATGATTCCTGTTGTTTGGTAAAGAAGTACAACGGTCCTCCATTGAAAATCCTTGTTGATCAGGTAAAGTATAAACACATCTACAAAGAGAATCTAAGCAAGAATCTGATTTTTTCAGTAAATCAATATTTAGGTGGAAAACTATACTCAGATTATAAGTTAAGTTTACACATGTAATTAGGGCCCCGCAAGGATTTGCGGGTGCCCTATAGTAATCACTCTGTCTCTCTGTCTGTATGTCTGTCTGTCCGTCTGTCTGTCTGTCATTCTTCCGTCCACAAATTTTCTGTTTTTTCCGAATAACTTTTTTTGTAGTTGACCAATTAAGTTCAAATTTGGTATATTGGTTGAAGAGGCAGTAAGACATATTTTGATGCTAAGTCTGGTTCTCTTTGTCTTCCATTTTGGAGCTGGGGTGGTAGGGTAGATTCCTTAACTTTACATTAGAATGAATGCCAGGGCAAGGAGAGATAACTGCTGAGAATGTTCCTATTGTAAACAATGAAAGCTGCAACTAGTCCCATGGGATTAAATAACTTTCCTCTTGAAGAAAATCCAAAGCATTATCTGTTTCTGTCAAATTGAGATTAATTAACACCTCTGTCTGCAAATGAAGTTTGATTTGAAGTTAAGGTCAATTCTGAATGATGTTTACATTCTCTGAAATGTGGATTTAAATAATGTTCATACTTTATTTTGGTAAAATACACAATGAGTTATGATTTTATTGAATTCTAAAAACAAGATATACATAAAGATATGTTGTTTTTTTTTTAATAATTTTTTTGTTTTTATTCATTTTTTTTTATTATTTATTCATTTTTTTTGCTGCTGATGTAAATTCAAGAATACTATTAGTTTTAACAGGTAGTCCAATAATAAACTTATTCTATCATTACTGAAAAAGTTCTTATTGTAAACTTGGAAGAAAAGGATGAGAGAGCAGTACAATTAATCCCCTGGGGTTAATTATCTTGTCTGGGGCAGAAAATTTTCCAGGCTTATCTTTATTTGTCACTTTAAGATAAATTAACCTTTGTCTGCAACTGTTTGTTTTGAAGTTAAGGATACACCAAAGGCTTTTTTTCAAGATTTTCAACAATTTTGAGATTTTTGGCCAAGAAAAAAATTTAATCACTGCTTTATAATGCATGTAAAATTCTTGGTAATTATGAAATGGTTTTCTAATTATTTAACAATAATGAAACATAAACACTACCACATGTGAATGTTCCCTTATTGAAGCTTCTGATTTGATCTGTGACTGCCTGCTCATGAAAGACGCAATAAATCGCTGTGACCACTTGGGGAATTCTTCACTAGCCACACAGAGGTTATCTGTAATTAAACTACAGGGACTTTAGATTTAGAGAAAGAGATCTAACAGATCACTGATGACCATAAAATAGGAGGTGGAGCTTAGCTCTTGCCATTTTGCCGGGAAATCTTTCTGATTCAGAAATGAACCTATTTTACTTAATTAAAAGCATCTAAATACAGAAAAGAACCTCCCATTTTTGTGAATATGCAAAGGAAATATGGCTAAGTGACAGGTATCCAAAGCTGAATCTCCAAGGTGTCATATATTTCTAGCTTTGGCAGATTTTGTTGTGTAATGGGTTTTTGCCCTCTACTGTAAAGTAAGATCAGACAGTTTGGGGTATTATTTCAAAGGATTCAGCTCCCTTATTTATTGACCAATTTCTTTGAAAATTGGATGGGTTACTTCTCAAATATGTGTTCACAAAACCGTATCTCAGATTTTTGATATCTAGCTTAGTTTTGGAATTATTGAGGGAAATGTTAAATCAGGCTAATAAATTGGTAACATTGAAGGGCAAATGGCTGTAACTTTTGAATTAGAAGATTTATCAAAATTCTGAGATACGGTTTTTAAGTTCAATCTTTAATCTACCTTTAGGAAAAATGACCACTTTGAGGGGATAAATACAAAAAAGTTGATTTATAAAATATTTATGCACTAAAATTTACATTATTATTTAAATAATTTTTAAATAAGTTATTAATTAAAGTTAAAATTAGGATAATTAAATAGTAAATTTAACAAGCTTTCAAATGATATATACTTTTATTATGTTATCTTTGATAATGAAAGAATTACATGCAAATTAAATTCTGGCATTTGGAAACCTTTGGTGTATCCTTAAGGTCAAGCCTGGGTGGTATTTGCATTCACTGAAGGTTGGCATTTTATAAAACACATGCTTTATTCTTGTTTAAATATACACTAGATGAAATCCCGCGCAAGCGCGGGGAATTGAATTTATACCACTACCGACAGAAAATATATTGTAGTTCTCTACTGACAGCCTACAGGCTTATAGCAGGAACAAATACTTTGTTCAAAATCCCGCCTGAAGTAGATTTACCTATCCTACCCCCCCCCCCCCCCCCCCCCCGTTTTTTTTTTTAAACTTGAAAAATAGCAATTTCATTAATTGACGTTTATTGTGAAACCTGTTATACTATGTTATGGATATTGTACTTCAGATGCTCTTATTTCATTTCCGTCAAGGATAAAAGCAACGAATAAGGGGGGGGGGGGGTAAAAATTCACAGGTACTTGAGTCTTGGTTTATAAATATGTTTGTACCTTATTGATATGTTAAAATGTACTTTAAATTACTTTTTTACCTATCAATAAGGTACATACATATTTATAAACCAAGAACCAAGTACCTGTGTAAAAATTAGCTTTTAACGCCCTATGAATAGGCTGAGTATTTGATACAAAAGACTGAGCTGCAATAATGTAGCCCTCTCCGATTTTTTTTTTTTTTTTTTTTTTTTTTGATCTGATATTTTCTGGCCTCCCCCCCCCCCCCCCCCCCCTCAAAAAAGGAGATGGCTACATTATTGCAGCTATAAAAGATTGTATTCAGAAATTAACTGTGTATTGATTAAAGCGCAAAATTTTACATCTTTAATTGTATTTAAACAATACCTTGTTCATTAATTTTCTCTTTTCATGTAAGCAAGTTTATTACAAAGTACAAATTGTACTTCGGGTTCGTTGCCACGATGCTCTCAGTAAGGAATATATATAAATTTTACCGATAAATTTATTACGAAAACCTACTACATACATGTATATGTAATAGTCTTTCGATATATAATTATATTCACAACTTATAGTGTTATCAGTGATTTACCATTATTTCAATTATGACCATTTACACAAAAGCTTTTTTTATGGTCATGTAGCTATAATCGCCTCGTTTTTTTTCTTAACATCGGGCTCGATGCTATATGATGTTCTAGAAGCTTCCGTCAAAATAAAGATCGGTGAATGACGAAAATATTTTGCACATTTCCCTTTTTAATCGGTTATCACAACTTATTTCTTTTATATCATTTAAAATCGAGTTTTGATTGAATAATTCAGTGATGACGTTTTATGTAATAAATAAACGATTGCTTGTTGTCAGTTTCATTAAAAATTGCTAGTAACTTAGATCCGCCAACCGGAAACGCCACCGTACTCACGTTTTAGCTATTTCGTGGCTGTTTATAGAAAATGAAAGTAGACTTTTAATTTAAGGTAGTATGGGATACCTCTACGTTATGACGTATTTCCGTTTGAAGTATTGTTTTGATTTGCATGAGTGCTTATTATCGGGTCAAAATTTGTAGATACACCGTTGAAAAGAACACTCTGAAGCCTATTTCAATGCAAGTTCTCACAAGTCGGCATCTTAAGTAAAAACAGACAAAAAAATCGCAAGTATATAAATTTACTTATAATTGTACAACGGACATTTAAAAAAGCAAACCCCTGTAAAATGTAGTTTCAACATTGCTGCGTTTGAACACTTTTAAGCAAAAGCTGTATTTCAATTGTTTGAGTAACTGTACAGCACCTTGTGTGCGGTGAGGCATGGATAAGTGCGATTACTTCACATTGTGCTGAATTATCACCAATCAATTATCACGTTAACCAGAGCTGGACTTTTTTGTTATTTAATTCAAGAAGTAACTGTTTGGTCACAAATCAGCTAGCTGTTGTATATAGTCCCAAAACGTTCAGATGAATGCAATTGCTCTGAACAAGACATGTCCTGGAAAGCGATTGTCCATGCATTGTTTTCAAAACCGCTCAAAGTTGAAAACTACAAAGTGCGATTTTTTTATGGTTGGGAAAAAATGCTCATCATTTCTAAAATAGCACCCAGGGTTTTTCAACCCTTGGAAAATAAAGAAGGATAACTCTTCCGCTCGGATCTTTTAATTCAAAAAATTTTAAATGCATTTTATATTTTCCATTTATATATATATTTTCAATTTGTTTATTTCACTTTGCTAACATATTAAGATACATTCTTATTGTAGACTTTCATGAAATGTTATCCGTCTGTTTTCAAGAAATAAAGTTTTCCCAGTTTTTTACGCTTATCTTTTGTTGAAAATTAAAAAAATACTAAGACATATTTCTTGTCATTTTTGTTTTTATAAACACTTTATATTAGCAAACGCCTGCCTATAATATCAAGCTTATGAAAAAAGAATTATGCAAGAAAAAAAATCGTTTTTGTATTTCTCATTAAAATAATAAAAAAATTATTAAAATTATACTTTAATATACTGAAAGGTGGGGGTATTTCAAATCCTTCTAATTTGGGTACATAAATATGTAGGAGAAGTTTCGTTTGGTATCCCATACCACCTTAATGTACGATACTTACTATGCGAGTGAAATCTAAATATAGTTTACGGACATCAGCTTGTATCTAGTTTATTGTTAGAGGAGTAAGTAAGAACTCTGGTGCACCCGTTTCGGAGTTTATTTGCAAAATTTATTAATTTATAAGTATAGATTTAATTGAGTTATTATAGATATGATGTTTTTTACTGCCTTATGTAAATACAGGGATACTCTTTACAGGTTGTTGGATATTTAGGAATTATCTTGAAATTTTATAAATACAGTTGTTATTGCATATTCTTCTCCGTATATTTTTTTAATTTTTGTAATCAATTAAAATTCTCATTCTGTAAGCTGCAACCTTATATTTCTACCCCTCGGCGAGGCCCTTGCTGACTGGTCAGTTTTCTAGCTCACTCAGTTGAATTGTAGTAGATGCATATTAACATTACATAATTTTAATAAAATTTGCTATATTTGAATTTTAAATGATTCTCATCTGTAGAAACATTCAGAAGATTATAATTGTAGTCTTCAAAGGGCACCTGAGGCTCATAAGTGAGATTTCCCCGTGTATTAGTGATAAAGCTAGTCTTTTTCCCTACATTTCCTATTATTATTTTGTCTTTTGTTGTAATGAGTTTTTTCACATGTATATACAGGGTTGGTATTCTCTATTTTATTACAGGGGAAGGCTGACAACTTTTTGCCTGCTGGCCAGCTTCTCCCAGACAACTTTGTCACAGCTTGTGCTGAGGCAAAGATGGAGCTTGTCATGAGAATGCAAGAGGTAAGTACTATACAATTATGGACTCTTTTACTGGTGAATATGGTTTGTTATTCACCAGAAAAATACCAATATTGACCGAGGCGAAGCCGAGGTCAATATTGATATTTTTGTGGTGAATAACAATTAAACCATATTCACCAGTAAAAGAGTCCATAATTGTTTTATTATATAGTCCGGATTTGAATAAATAAGACATTGAAGGCTGCATGACGATACCTTTTTTCATTAACGAACCTCTGTCGTAAAAAAAAAAACAACAAAAAACCACAGATTATGACTTATAACTTCCGTGGTTTCATTTCGCTGTGTATAAGACATTGAAATGTTTAGATTATATAGGGGCTATTTATAGACTATATAATAATGTTTATTAATCAGTCTAACATCTTGGGTACATTAATTAAGTAGTAATGAATAATGATGTTTACTGATTCTTATGTTTCAGGGCTATGATCACAGTTACTACTTCATGGCAACATTTATGGAGGACCATCTGAGACATCACGCCAAGTTCTTGAAGTGAAAAGGAATCCGTCCTACGTAGGCTGACATTCATTGTGTGATTAAAGTTGTTGATTGATACTGACAAAAACTTTAACAGAAAGGAAAGCTTTCTAAGAAGGACTTTTATTTTATGACAGGCAATGTTTTTACCCACCCTCAATAATATACATGTCATACATGTAAATCTTACAAGATACTTGATAAAATCATTTTACAAATTAAGTGAAAGCTCTGAAAAGTTGCCTTTATATACTGTAAGTGTAGGGAAGTACTCTGAGTTTCTGGTACTTCAGATAAAATTCATCCAGACTCCTTGCCAGGAAGCAGATTACCACATGTTACTTGCATTGTAGTTTTCCTCTTTTCTGTTAGAGAGAAATTGATAAACAGAATATAGACTTGATGACCTATATTGATATGAATGTTTAAAATTTACATTGATACATGTGATCAGGTTTCCAAGTGAAACACACCAATAAAACTTAATCTGAAATTAGTATTTGGTTGCTTTTTAATAGTATTAGAGAAAATATTCAATTCATGGCTAGTTAATTGAAATTCAAATGGAACGAAATGTACATTTTAGACAATCTAATACACATATAAGTAAAACATGGTTCAAGTATTATAAATAAATTCTCAAGATAAAATTATCACAAATTTTGTATGTATTAAATCATGATTTATTTACATAACATGAAGATGTATTTTTAAGTGAATTTAAATTTCGAAATAATGTAGCAGGTAATTTTTTTTGGTTGAAATACAGTTATAATTAACTTTCTCATAATGAAGTTACACTTATGGCAAAGTGATGTTCATTTCCTGTAGTTTTATAACACGTGAATTTAACAGATATACATCCCTGGCACTTCACTATAAGCATGTTTTACTGTACAGTGGAACTTGTGTAATCCGGATGTTGTGTAGTCCGAAATCTTGCCTAATACGGTGTAGACTATGATTTATTTGTTTAAAATGTTGTCTAATATGAAATATTGTCTAATCCAGCTAATTTCCTTGGAACCAGTATTGTCCGTGTTAGACAAGTTTTACTGTAACGGGTATATGTATTTAGTTATTAATGCTCTAAGCTCATCACTCCTAAGCTTGGCCTTGTTTTTTGAGAAGAAGGTATTTTCAGTAAATCTATCTAAAACTTCAATTCCCTGTTGTTGCCTCATATTTGCTCCTTTGAATCTACATTAGGAATCTTGCATTTATGTTACCATGGTTACTGCTTTTCTAAAGGAGAAAAATCTAACTCTCACTTGCTAACTCTCTTATTGACTCAACATGAAAATAACTGCATGGTGTACTGATATATTAACTGTGTCCAGGTGATCTTGACGCTTGTTTATTAAACTCTCTTTTTTCCAACTTATTCCCATATAGACCTTTGACCCCCTTTTTGGCCCATGCATCCTATTTCTGCTTATCTGGGAAAGCTTGAATGCAAAACTTCATGGGAATGCTTGCTTATAAAAATTGTTAACTGTGGTCCATTGTTCTAGAGAAAAAAATCCATTTTAAACCTTGACCCCTTTTATGGCCCCTCCACAACCCCAGAGGAATTATATAATTTGAGAACAGAGCAAACAGGAATCCTTTGAAAATAACAGAAAATACGGAGGGATCAGGTACCAAAGAGGAGTAAACATCCAATGTCGACCGGTCACGCCAGTGTCGCTGTTACCCTCTGTCTTGATCGGGTAAACAGAGAAATCCACAGTTCGGTATGAAAATCTACATCAGTCAACATTCGGCCTTAATGACAAGTCGACCATAGAAGAACCACGAACGCTAACTCTCGATTCCCGCCTACAAAGTCAATATAAATTTCAACTTGGCCATTAAAACTTTTTTGGATGCAAAGGAGAGTTCATTAGTAATTGAGTAATAATTTAAAAAAAAAACAGTGTCAAAAAGTTAATTGCTCTTATTTACAAGTCTTTTCATAAGGAGAATAGAAAATTTTATCCATTGAAATCAGGCTTTTTAACATATCACACCATTTCCAAATATTCATAAAAATGGATAAATGACCCTTGAATCTTTCCGTATGTTTAATATAATTATGTAAATTTCAAAATATATATTAAATTACATTTCTTTTATTTGTAATTTCATGTGAAAATGGTAAAAGAATGACCTCTTTTGCGTTTTTTGCATATGCCCCCCCCCCCCTCTTTGTAACAACAAAACTTTGGTATGAATTTGTGAAAAAACAATTTATAATACCTGTAAATAGGAATGTTTGCTTCACGGGGGATGTTTTAAAAATAATTTCCGTTTTCCGTTGATTTCTATACTGAAAAACACAAGTTTTACCAAAATGATAGTTATCTCTCTTTGTTTTCCGAAATAAGTTATGTTTTATGAAAATTCACATAAATGTCTACATAAATATGAAAAATCATTCAAATATGTCAACTTTTGAAAACTGACTTGACTTGGAGGTAGGCTACAGAACAATATTATCGTTCGCAGTTCTTTGCGAAATACGATATATCGATTCAATGATTGAATAATAGTATTATTAATTGATAAAAAGTCGATACATCGAAATGTTGAATTGAAAGCCATAGCAAGAGTTTTCTGATGATACAGATGGTTTTGAATAAATTCTGCTTCATATGAATACAAAACGAATCTGCTAATAATTGGATACAATTAGTACCAATCGAAACAGATGGTTGGAATACCACGTCTCCAACGAACTCGAGCATCTTTTTAATATCAACTTTAGAGTACTCGTGAGTATTGAAACAAAGTAATTTTGTAGATGACCATTCACAAGATATGAAAATTTCTTAGTTCCATTTTTATTGAAGAAGCAGCTGTCTATGGTATCAAAATGCTTGGTCCTAAATTTATCATGAGAAATGGTTATGCACTGTATAACGTATTTGATGATGCTATTGATTTGGGAACATTTTGTGATAAATTTAAATTTTGTAAAAGTTCCTTGATTTTTTTTTTCGCAGTATAACATGCCCAGTGAATAATTCTATACAAAGTACAAAGTAGGGGTGTTTGCATATTTGAAAATGTTAAATTGTGACCCCGCTGTTCTTGAGAATCAGAAAGACTTAGTACACATTATTCCTAATGTTTAACTTTGATTCCCTGGTGTGCGCCCTTCCTTGCCGAGGATTGCGGGGGTATAATTATAACAAAAATTTGTTCAACGCTTAGCTAGGAAGCTTTTATAGTGATTTTTTTTCTTTTCTTTTTGGATTTTATACAGATTTATAACTGAGAGATATTTTCTTTACGACATTAATTTCTCATTATTACATACATTTTCCCTCAAAAAGAGGCGCGGCCCTCGTTTGCAAAATGTTGAATCCCCATTACTCAACGATGCTCTGAAGCCAAGTATGGGTGAAACTAGACATCGACTGGGAAAATTTCACAGACTGACAGACAGATAGACGAAAACTTGTCCATCTTTGATCACAAAAGGTCATCTAAGACTTTGCGTAAATTGCACTTATTTTGGGTTCAAGATTTATTTTTCATTATTTTTAAAGTTAGTAAATATATCAAACTATCCACTATCTAACATCGGGAATTGTTTACTATGTGAAAATGAAACAGCGACTGCTGAAGCTGAGGGACACGTGAATTGTTTACACTGGCCTTTATTGATCTTGGCAGAAGATCGAGGTGCAAAACATTACTGTAGAAAAATGGCGGTGTTCTACAGAGGCAGAAGGTTTTTCCTGTGAATGATGTGAGATATAAGATATGATATCTGGCAAATATTTTGGTAAGTCTAATGCATCTTGTGTTAATATTTAATTGATCTGAGGGTTAATATAAACCACCCATAACTTATGACATGTAATATATTACTGATGACTAATAGAGTTCAAGAACATTTTATTATATAGGTAGAATACGTGAGGAATTTTCTTTATCTATTTAGCATCTTGCCGTGCATCAAAACTATATTTCTTAATAAAAATCTATAGTAACTGATAATTAAACAATCCAAGCCAGGTCATGTAATACGTTTATGTATACATGGATAGCTCACAAAATGTTCAAAAATGCCTGATAAGCTCTGGTCATCTAACGGAAACTTGTAGAAATAGTGCATTTAATTGTACTTTTTCTTCAGTATGTTTGCTTTGGATGCTGCATCTGACCTACATTTAATGCTCAAGTGATTCTGATTCTAATTCTAGCCAATCTTACTTATGGTGTATCTGACTCATACTTTGTATGGTAAATCTGACCTATATTCTATGGTATATTTGACCTTTTTTCTAAGGTTGAGGGACTCCAGTCAAAATTTTGGTGTTTAAAGCACACTATCAGCGTTAAGCAAAACAGCCTAGCTTACAAGATTCGGGACTGAAATTGACATATATTTTACGCTTGAGTAATTTAATAGGTGAAGATATGATGAACAGTAATCGATCTAAAAAAAAAAACCTACAAACAATATGAATCTGTGAACAGAGCATAAAACATGGTCCCCTGGAAATTCCAAAGATGGGATCTAGTGCCATGGAGAAGTAAGCATCCCCTGTCGACCGGTTAAACCCATTGTGTGCTCCTTGTCATGTTCAGATGGACGGAAAAATCCGTAGACAATTCAGTATGAAAATAATGGAATAACAGTTTGAATGAACGACATTAGTCAACATTCGACTTAATGATAGATTGTATTTGCTGACAATGTCATTATATCAACCATAGAATTCGCGAAATGTTGACTGTTGATATCTTGTTTCAGCAGCTTGTTTGTCAGTAGCTTGCCTCGTTTTAGAAATTATTCGTGCGTATAGCATGTTCTTGCGTATCGAATCAACTGGGAGATAATATCCATATGCAGGTGATAAGGGTATATTGCTACTTAAATAATTGAAGTTGACGATAGAAAAGTTGACGTTTATCATAAAGTTTTATTGTTGGGTTACCATTAACGTCTTTTTCTAGTAAAATATCCAAATATGAAACAGATATGTCAGATTCTGTGGTATCTTTTATTTCAAGTTCACTGGGATATATCGAGTCGACATATATATGGAAGAAAATATTGTTAATTGATAATGCGTCGTGGATATATCTAAATATCAAGTTGAAGGCCACAGCAAGTGTTTCTTCTCATGTAGAAGTTTATGACTAAATTCATCTTCATATGAATATAAAAATAGGTCTGCTAATAAAGAGGCGCAATTGGTACCCATGGGTATTCCGACAGATTATTGGAAGAAATGATCTCCAAAAACTACATAGATATTGTCAATCAGAAACTGAAGCATCTTTTTAATATCAACTTCGGAGTACTTGCGTGCACAATCAGAATTTTTTAACAAAATAATTTTGCAAATGACCAAATTGAATGACAAGGTATTTAAATTAAAGAGTTCCATTTTTAATGAAAAAGTGACTGTTTATGATGTCAAAAAGTCTGGACATCAATTTATCGTGGGGAATGGTTGTATAAAGTGTTGAAAAGTCGTACGTTTTGATGTTATTGATTTTGATAAGAATGTGTGATTTCAAATTTTCTAAAAGTTCCATGGGGATTTTAAGTATCCACATCTGATTTACACCACTTCTCGAATATATTGTTGTACAGTACTCCTGAAGTTTCTCCTTCACTTTAGTGAGGAGTGAAAAAAGTGTCTTGGTAGAACATTTACTGGAACCCGCTACGTATCTTTATTTGTGAGGGTTTTTATGTAGTTTAGGATTCCAGTATAAGTATGATAATTCAAATTCAGTTTGATTGTTGGGAATATTAAAAATATTTCGAACATACATGTACATATGATTTTGAAGAATTTCCACCTTAGAAATTTAGAAAGGGAGCTATGGGTATAGGTTAGATTACCACTTGCAGAACTAAATCCCAGCTCCTCTAAAATACAATTCAAAGAATGAGCCTTACAAAGACAATGTTGTTACCTGCTTTGTCAGTGGGGACCAGTACATACTGATCATGTAATCTATCTAACTCTTTTTCACTTATGCATTATTGAACACAGAAGGATAGATGGTTTTCATATTCCCCCTCAATCGCTTAATGCAAGATTTCAACATCCATCTGATACTTTTAATCCATTCTGACAAAGTGTCAAGGTCTTCTTTTTCATATTTGGCCCATTGGCTGGCGTAATCTTCTACTGAATTCATAATATTTATAAAATTATAACGCCAGTTGAAAGATCGTGGTTCAATAAATTTTGGCCCTTTTAAAATAAGTGAATTAAATTCCTCATTATTAACTATATGTATATTTACGTCACCAGTAATGACGTATCTAGAGGATTATGTTTCAGATGTCGCCCACTCATCCATGGCACCTGATCCCACCTCTGATGTTTTAGAGGTCCGTATTTGCTCTGCTCCAAAATTTGTATTGTTTAATGGACTTTTGAGTTTGAATACTGTTCGTTATCTCCATATATTTCATGTTCGATATCTAGGCACTGTACATTTTTTTCAATTAAAAAGTTGGAAAGAAATAGTCGATGTATATTAGTAAGAAATATAAGGTGTGGATTTCAACTTGAAATATATTGTAATACAAGACTGGACTCTTGTGACTAAGAATATATCTTATAAAAGGATCTTTATCATGATAGATGTTAGAATACAAACCAAATCTACAATTTTTTTAATGATGTATCGATATGCATATGTTTCAGGATCTTACTATTATAAGACATGAAAAAGTAACACTCAAATGCTCTTCTATCACTCTCATTTTACTCAAGTGGCACATCATCAACACGTGTTGATGAAGAACAAGGCGATTAATATCTGACATCCCTCATCTGACGCTAATAATAAACATTTTAAGAAGCTATCAAAGTTATCTACACCTAGTGTACAGACACTCTTGAATTCAGTTCAAATCACACATCGATTGTGAAGTGGAAGTCGATTTGCTAATAATTATGATTGCGGTACGTGTAATTGAGTATTGGCTTGATCATGAAGTACTCGTAATCATATGATTGTCTGCCAAGTTTTAATGTGAGGATGTTTACAAACTATAGTAAGGAAATGAATATTTCGTATTTCCTCATCATATTTTATATAAGATTTATAAGGAAGTTGTCAGTGTTATTTTAAATTGAAAATATGCAAGGAATTTTCCCGAATTTCTCACTAGATCACGCTACTGGAGCTAAGTGAAGTACATAGGCTGTGAACAATATTCTGTTCAAAAGATGTTTTAAATAAATGTAATGCTGATGCAATATTGGTGTAAAATGATGTTAATCTACACTGAAGAGAGAATACTTTTGATTCTGTTTACGGTTAATGTGAACATTAGAGGAGAAGAAGGTAAATTTGCTACCAATATAATTTTGAAATTAATTAATTAGAAATTATGCTTTTATGTCATAGGAGTGTAATCTAGGAGAAGGTGTTGTCCTTTATCATAAACATCTGCACTACACTCAAGCCTTTAATGATAACATTTTAAGACCCTCTTTACACTGATGATTTTTTTTTTTTTTGACTTTGAGAAAATTATATATCCCAAAGTAGTACATATTAAAATTATTTAGTTCATTTTTAACATAGGGCGCGTGCCTTTTATTTTACCCAGGAATAATGTTCAAAGACAACGAAGTTCTGATAAAAAAAAATCAAAATTGTTTACTCAAATGGAAAAAAATTACATGCAAAAAAAGTTTTCTGTTACTCTTTTTTTGTCAAATATAATACTTTGAATACTTGAATTAATTACAAATTTTGTAATACATTGAATATCGTAATTTATTCTATTTTATATAAAATGATGGATCAGTCTAACTACAACTAAAAGGGAGTCAAATTTATGTCCAAACTAGTATGAATAATATGAGCAATTATATCCGGAAGGGGGGAGGGTTGGAGGTCTGGAGAGTCCAAGAGCTTCAGAATTACACGTAATTTCTAAACCGATAAGAAAAAAAAAGGAAACTTGGGAGACTTCATGAAAACACACACTATCGTGAATTGGTTTACGAAAGAAAGTGATTATTCCATGAGGTTCTTTCTTGTATATTTATATAGTTTAACCGAATAAAAAGCTAATGATATTTAGCTTGTAATATATCTTTTTATATTTAGGAAAACAGATCTTCTGATTTGGTCGATGTTATATATAGTATCTTAGTCAATATCAGATAAAAAATTAGTACATGATATAAAGTAAACCAATCATATTTATAGAATCAGCAGTAAAAATAATATAACATCATAAATTTACCTATAGGGGAAAATCAATTTAAAAGTTTGTGATGCACCTGGTTTAGATTAAAAAAAAAGCAATGTTTCATATTTAAAAATACTTAAATGAATAGTATTGCATTGCACTAATAGGAAAATTTAAAGGATAGATACCGCCAAGTCACGAGTGATGAAATTAACACCGCAGAGAATGGAATATTACATGTCTACATGTATTTTATTTCATTTAAAAAGCTATTTTAAATATTTCTGTACAATGCACATTTACAAGCAATGGAGGAGTAGGTATTCATAGTCGACCGGTTACACCAGCTGTTAATCCTTTGTTTGAACGCCTAAAGAGAATAATCCGTAGACAATTCAGTATGAAAATAATGGCATTACTATTCATTTACTATGTCAGTCAACATTCTACCTAACGACAGGTTGTCACTGTAAAAAAAGGATAATTTTATCGACCATAGAATTTTTGACTTTAAACGAGATTATTGATACTTGTGAAATAAACTCATTTGTCATGAGACTGTCTCGGTTTAGAAATTGTTAATATGTAGAACATGCTAGTATCGAATCAATGGAGACATAACACCATATGCAGGTGATAAGATGTATTGCTACATACAAAAAGGTAAGTTAACAATTTAGAAAAGAAAGCTGAAGTCATAAAGTACATCAGTACATTATAAAGTTTAATTGTTAGTTTAACAACGAAGTCTCTCGTCAGTCAAATATCCAAATATGAAAAAGATGTGTCAGGGTCATCACAAAAACAACAAGATTTAAATTGTATAAAAATGTACAAATTTGAATAACTCTTTCAAAATTTTAAAGGTCATCAGACCTACTCCAAATGGTGCCTTATTCTGAGTTCAATGGGATACCGGTATATCAAACGATCACATGAATGAAAATAAAATATTGTTAACGTTTAAAGGTCGGTATATATATATATATATATATATATATATATATATATATATATATATATATATATATATATATATATATATATATATATATATATATATATATATATATATAATGAAGACCACAGCAGGAGATTTATTTTCCTGTTGAAGTTTTTGAATAAATTATGCTAGAGTATGGAAACGGGCCTGCTTACAAGGGGGCACAATTTAAAACCGTTTGAATTCGAACAAATTGTTTGAAGAACTTTTTCTAAGGACTAAAAGTTTTGATATCGTCAATTAGAAACTCCAGCATCATTTTAATATCACCTTTAGAGTACTTTTTCGTAGAATGAGTTTTAAAAATTAGATGACCAGTCAAAAGATCTGAACATTTCTGAGTTCCTTTTTTTGAAGGGACAATTGTCTGTGATGAAATATTTCAATATTTAGTCCGTGTAAAAACCACAGACCTTTTCAAACTTGAATGAGGAAAATTGTTTGGAAGAGTCTTGATGATTTTTATGAAATATAGTATATGTATATATAACTGCATGCCAAGTCCTCTCAATAGTTTTAAATCGAAATATAGAATTAAATATCTGTAAGCCATGTTCATCTGTAGCACAAAAACTATTGCTACATTTTCTGTCAAATTTGAATATGGTCTGGCACAAATTTTTCTTCAGACTATAGTCATATACAAAAGTATAGGACATGTTGTTTTTTAACAGATAATGATCTCCTAACATTGTTTATACAATTTAACCTGATTGGAAATCTTGTAAAGACATAAACAAAGTGTTTGTACTTTAATAAGTACTTGATTGTAATTTATTCAATTTTTACATTCAGGGTTTGTTTACACTAAGGATTACAACATAGCAAACCATCTGATGTAGATGAATGATTACAAATGTACTAGTATAAATAACACCACATAGTCTGACACATCAGTATTATAACTGGATGTTTTACTAGAGAAAGACATTGATGACAAACTAAAAACTAAAATTTAAGATAAAAGTGATGAATGACTTCGATTTTTCTATCGCCAACCTCTTTATTTGAGTAGCAATATACCATTGTCACCTGCATATGGAGTTTATGTCCCCAGTTTATTCGATATGCAAGAAGTTGCTCTACGAACAAAATAAATTCTAAAACGAGGCAAGTTACTGACAAAAAAGCCAATGATAAAGGATATCAGCAGTTTTATTTAAAGGCAATATTTCACAAATTCCATGGTCGGTACAATGAACCTTGTTAGCAAATACAGTCTATCGTTTTAAATCTAATGCTGACTGAAGTTTTTCATACAAATTGTTAAGCCATTATTTTCACACTGAACTGTCTACGGAATTTTTCGTTTACCCGATCAGGACAAGTAGCACAATATGGCAGATCCACAGGGGATGCTTACTTCTCCTTGGCACGTGATCCCACTTCTGATGCTTTTAAAGATGCAGTGTTTGCTCTGCTCATAATTTGTATTGTTTCAATGGACTTTTTAGCTTGGTTACTTTTCGTTATCTTCATATTTCACATATGTAAAAGTCGAAAATTTCTGAAAATCATGCGTAGGAGTTGTATAAATTATTCCTAAGATTTTTTTTTTTGTATTATTTAGGTTCCAGGACCATAAAACTTAGATTAGTTCAATTATAATTCCTTTTCTAATACTTAGATTGAGATTAAAATAAGTGAGTTTTTATTTTTTTGATATGACACGGGGATGAAATATTAATTGGAATTTCCCAATACCCTTCTTTCCAGTAACAAATTCTTTTCTTTCAATCACGAAAGGTTTTTTTCTGTATTGAATTTACATTCCTTTGAATTACAGATGCTGAGATTAAATAAAAAGGCGAAACCCAACCAATGGAAACAGAGTGTAGGGAACTTATGGAATGGTCTTCATCATCATCAAATTATTTTACTCCCAAGGAAACAACTGCATTGAAAGAATTCCTCCATACACTTAATTTTGAAGAACTTTGTCAACTTCTTAAAGTGTTTGAAGTAAGATGTTTAATTAGCCAAGAATTCTATTGTTTTCTCCATGAAGTTTATCTTAAGCAAAGAGAAAATATGAACGAAATGTTTCATATACTGACTACCTACTTGTCAGGCAGATGTACGTTAGGTTTACAATATGTAATATTTGTGTTACATAATTTTGGCTCTGTGATCTTTTCCCAGCAATTATATAACGTTCATCAAAATTTGATAGAATTGTTAAATGGAAAACCACTACTTGTTCACAAAATAGACACTTCTTGCAGGAAAAAAATTCAGGTCTATTTTGAATTAATGAAAATAAATATTCAAAATATGGTCTTTCATGACCCCATAACTTACTTCACAAATCTCTCAAACAAAATACGACAAAAAATATATACCACTACTCCGTGCTCAGAAGAAAGAATCCTTCAAGAGGTCTGCGATAAATATGTTGTTTTGTTAGCTTTAACTATTGATTCGCTGGCTAACAAGACAAATCAAATTGATCCGGACCATCAACTCTTCCAGGATATGGAAGCCATCATATCTATGACGTCATGTCCGGATCTATCCCGATGTATGTTATACGGTAGAAGAGCTGTGGTTTTGTCGTTTGCAAACAGAAAGGAAGAGGGTGAGGACTTGGTCAGAGAAGGTCTGATCTGCGCAGATAGAGTTTCTAGTTGTTTGGAATCAGTCGACTTGCTTTATAAGATAGTTCTTTTTCGAAGGGCCTGGTTCGAGCACTGCCCTCAAATTATTATAAACTGGATTTATGAGCATACTCAAAAGGCGCTACAAATCCTAGAAAACGAGCCGGAAGACATTCGTGTATTTTGGACCAGGAGGTTTATGTTTCGGTTACTTTTCTGTTTCTTGGGATTAGGGATGCGTTGTCGCTTTATTGAGCACTTTTACTGCCCCTTCTATATATTACTAGAAGCAGAGAGACTACTTGACAAATATGACTCACCGGATACAGAATATCGCCTGAAAATGTATTTTTCCATTGCTAAATCTCGATTGTGGCATTTGAAAGGCGATACTGATACAGCCTTGAAACATCTGGTTAAAGCAAAAGAAATTGCATCAAAAGGCAAATACAGCGAACTAAAAACAATTCTAGAGGCAGAACAAACATTGTTTTTGCCAGACGTTACACCCTTGTTTATTGAAACAGAAAATGATAATAATGACATGGATGATATCAGTATGATAGAACCAATCCATCTTCCACCTACTTATTACCTTCCACAATCAATCAACTTGAACGATCTTCATGTTAGCTTGACATCTCCGTCAATTTCCCCCATCCCTGTCCAAGAAAACAGTCCTCAAAACGAAGCTCTGGGAAATAACTCTCTTACATCAATGAAAGAAGACACGATTTCTGAACAAAACAATTCTGATTTGACAGAAGAACCACCTAGATCCCACGATTTTTCAGTGGATGTCATTCACATTAAGTCATCCAAAGTAAATTATCCAAATGTGTAGATTACTGCAAAAAGATTTAAAAAAAAAAACCCACAGTGTAATATTTTTTATATGGAAAATCGTAACGCAACATAATTTGTGTACTGGTGTTTAAATTCTCAACACGTAATATTTTAAATCTGTTTCCAATTTGTAATAGATACAATTGATTTAAAAACGTTTTTGAACTGTTAAAGGTATCTATTCAAAGATGCAACTCACTTCCAGGATTCAACGTAAGAAATGAATGTGTTTTATTTTCTGCCGAATCCCTAACCTTTTTCTGGAATCTTTTTTTTTTTAAAGTTGTACATACACGACATATTTTTATTTATATTTTTGCTTGAGTCTTTCATCATTCTTCTGTGATCATTAAATTTTAAGAAGTAGTTGTAGATTTGTTATATTCATGATATAATCAAATTAAATAATTGATAGATGGTTAATGAGATTGTTGATATAAATTGACCATTGATTTACTTTTCATTGTCAAACATACTTCATGAACATATTTCATATACATGTATCTATGTTTTTTTTTTTTAAATTTCTGATTGATGTGATACACAATAGTCCCAGATGTGTGTGATATGTTATATGTGATTTGTTATGGGTTTTTTTTCTTGTTTCTATTCACAATTTTTTGTCGTTAATCATTTTTTTTAGTGTTATTATATATTTCAGACGTCCCCTTTTTGTTTATATTTGAATGGTGTGATGATAAGATGTAACAGTACATGTCATATGCTTTTTTCCTTGTTTCTGCATTCCGTCGATATTTAAAAAAAAATCAATGTTCTCTTATTTGTCTTATATTTTAACTGAACTTGATGTACAGGTTCAATGGTTTAAAAGTTTCGGAGAAAATATGAAGAACTAAGTGTTTAATTCTTATTTCTTACGATTAAGAAATGGTAACTCAATTGACAATGTGAATAGTTTTTTTCAGAACCTGTCAAGCTATATTTGAAGTTTTGTAAATTTATACTGGGTGTTCATAAGAAAAGTACTGCGGTAATGTCAGAACTTGGAAGATTTCCGTATTATACCAATATTATAAAATCCATGCTATTATATTGGCCTTGATTAGACAATTCTGATGACAATTTTCTCTGTATAATGCGTTTACTAATTCCAAAGTACTAAACATAAGTAAAGACTCCTGGTATACTTGAATTTTTTAATATTTAAGAAATATCTTAAAATGCTTCCTCCTTGAGTTTATCTAAATTCAAACTTGTCATCCATAATCAACATGGCCGTAGGAACCGGGGGGGGGGGGTAGTTGATAGTGCCCCCTCAACTGAAAATGTATAGCTGTGCCCCCCCCCCCCCCCAAACTGAAATTGCTTCCTACGGGCCTGAATTCAAATCCGCAAAATTTTATTTGCTCTCGTCTTAGTGGAGCTGAGGGCAAAACAGAACAGTAAAATTGCTTATAGGGAAGTCCTTGCATGGGACAAGGTTATAACCGAAGTTTATATATCCACGTAAGAAAGTGTAATGATATGAAGGATGTGGAAACCTTATAACTTCCTTATAACCGGGATATAAATTTATTCAAGGTAAGAACGTAGGTGTATCTTTGTTATAAAGTCCTTTATTTAAATCAGTTGTAAGAGTGATACATGAACGCTCAGTTTTTTGGAGTTTTTTTTTTTTTTGCGAAGAGATATCTCATACACTTTGAAGCATGGCTATGAGGAAAAAAACGTCTCTAACCGTGGAGATTTAACAAGTGATTAAGAGGAAATGGATCTTATTTGGATTTTTTAACTTGCAATGAAATTTCTATAACTGAAAGTTTTGATTTCTTGCTACATTTAATGCAAAGAGTAGAAAGATTGATCTTCACCTACATGTATTTCATTTTGAAGTAGAAGTTGTTATGTATAGGATTGATTCATATTGTTTAACGCCGAGTCTGCAATATTTCAGCCATATTTCGGCGGTGAAAAGTTATGTTCAGATTTGCAAAATTTTTGAGTTTTTCTTTAACGGCCCCCAGTGAGCCTACTCTTTTTCGAAAACGAGAAAAACGATCTTTTACGTGCCAAGGGGGTTGTTATCCTTGACACGGGGCACCATTAAAGTCCCATCCGACGGACTTTAAATTTAAAAATATGTAAACTGTTAAATTTATAATAACAAAAATTTGCTATTTAAAATGTATATATCTAAATAGGAAAGGAGGAATGAAGAAATACATATTGAAGACCATAGACAATTTAGGACTGGACAGAGCATTGACCCCTGCACTAGTAGTCAGATTCCTCGACCAGAGTTATCTAGTTTATATAGCTTAACATTACTTTGAGAATTCTGCCTCAAGACTTAATGCGACATTTTCTGATTAAGTTTATCATACATTCGAAAAGTTTTCACTTTCCTTTACAAAATTTACGAATGAGTCTTTTCTCCTCTGCTCTATATTATTATACATGTAAAGAAGTAGATAATATTTCTAATCAAAAATAGCCGATTTCCTCATGCATTCTGTATTTAAGTAAATTCCTCTTTCTTTTAAACGAAATTAAAGTTGTATGAATAAAAAAAAGATAACCAAAGTGATCGATTTAAAAAAAAATCAATAAACAATGTGAACAAGGCATAAAAACAAGGAACCCTGGAAATTCTGGTGATGGGACCATGTATCTAGGAAGAGTAAGCAACGCCTGTTGACTGGCCACACCCGCCGTCAGCCATATGCACTAGACAGACGGAATAATCCCGTAGTCAAATTTAATATTAAAACAAACAATTGATTTGAAATATGTCAGTCAAAATACGACTCAATGATAAGTTAGATTTACTCCGTCTCTCTGAAAGTTTTGAATAGCCTATTTATTTGTAAAAGTCAAGGAAAGTCCATATTTGGATTCTTCGACACCACTAATCAGGCTCGGATCTGTGATTATGGATATTACAGATCATAGGCTCTTTAAACCGCCACGTTTCGCAGAAGAAAATATCGCTCAAACAAGCGTTTGTTCATTCAATATTCCAACAAAGGAATTGACGCAGTTAATGTAAGTAATATTCTTAATCACAAAAAGGTACAGTCTTGTATTCCACCATATGAAGGCCACACCTTGTATTTCTTACAAATATACATCGACAATTGCTTCCAAACTTTTTAATTACAAGTATGAAATATATGGAAATAACGAACAGTATTCAAGCTCAGAAGTCCATTAAACAATACAAATCAGGAGCAGAGCAAACACGGACCTCTAAAACATCAGAGGTGGGATCAGATGCCATGGAGGAGTGGAAATCACCTGCCGACCGGACACACACCCGCCGTGTGCTCCTTGTCATAATCGGTAAATAAAGCAAAAATCCGTCGACAATTCAGTGTGTAAATAATGGCCTAACAATAAGTATGAAAAATGTCAGTCAGCATTTGACTTAATGATAGATTGTATTTGCTGACAAGGTCATTGTAATTGACCATAGAACTAACGAAATGATGACTTTAAACGAGACTCCTGATATTCTTGTTTCATCAACTTGTTTGTCAATACTAGTAACCTACCTCGTTTTAGAAATTGATCATACGTAGAGCATGCTCTTGCGTATCGAATCAACTGAAAGATATAAACCCCGAATGCAGGTTATAAAAGTATACTGCTGCATAAGTACTTGGGAAGTTGACGATTGAAAAGTTAAAGTCATCACTTTTATCATGAAGCTTTGTTGTTAAATTACCATTAACGTCTTTTTCTAGTAAAATATCCAAATATGAAACAGATGTGTCAGACACTAAGGTATAAAAAAAAACTCTACAGTGCCTAGATATCGAGCATCTGAAACATAATCCTCCAACGTGTTCATGTTCTTCTTCACCCTACAACTATAGTCCTGCTGGACACGTCATTACTGGTGACGTAAATATAGTTAATAATGAAGACCTTATAATAAGAGGGCCAAAGTTTAGGGTACCCCGATTTTTCACTTGGCGTCATAATTTCATTAATACATGTATTATGAATCCAATAGAAGATTACGCAAGACGATGGGCCAATTATGAAAAAAGAAGACCTTGAAACTTTGTCAGAATGGATTAAATGTATCAGCTGGATGTTGAAATCGCGCATTAAGCGATTGAGGGTCAATATGAAAACCATCTATCTTTCTGTCTTCGACAATGCAGAAGTGAAACAAGAATTAGATTACACAATCAGTATGTACTGGTACCCGCCGACAGAACAGGTAACAGCATTGTCTTTGTTTGTTCAAACTCTGGATATAATTCTGCAAGTGATATTTCAACTTGTACCCATAGCTCCCTTTCTAAGGAGGAAATATCTCCAAAACCATATGTCAGTTTTAAATATTTTGATATTCCCAACGATGAAATTAAATTACCATACCTAAACTAGATTTCAAACCTCCATAAAAATCCTTACAAACAAAGAAACATAGCGGGTTCAAGTAAATGTTCTACCAAGCCTCTTTCTTTACTCCTCACTAAAATATTTATTGTTATGAAGGAGATTCTTCAGGAGTACTGTACAACAATATATTCGAGAAGTGGGGATACTTAAAAACTCCAAGGAACTTTCAGATAATTTGAAATCACAAAATTTTATCAAAATCAATAACATCAAAACGACTTTTAAACACTTAATACAACCATACCCCATGATAAGTTAAAGTCCAGGCTATTTGACATCATAAACCTAGAGAGCTGCTTTTTCAATGAAGATGGAACTCTTAAATATACTTACCATTGTCATTGGTCATTTGCAAAATTATTTTGCTAAAAAAAAACATTCTGATTGTTCACACAAGTACTCTGAAGTTCATATTAAAAAGATGCTCGAGTTTCTGATTAATTATTGTAGTTTTTGGAGATCAGGTCTTCCAATTATCTGTTGGAATTCCAATGGGTACCAATTGCGCCCCCTTATTAGCAGACCTATTTTTGTATTCATATGAAGCAGAATTAATTCAAAAACTTCTACAAGGGAAGAAGAAAACACTTGCTGAGTCCCTCAACTCGACATTTATATATATTGACAACGCATTATCAATTAACAATATTTACTTCCATTCATATGTCGACTTGATATACCCCAGTGAGCTTTAAATAAAAGATACCACAGAGTCTGACACGTCTGTTTCATATTTGGATATTTTACAAGAAAAAAGACGTTAATGGTAACCTAACAACAAAACGTAATGATAAACGTGATGAGTTCAACTTCTCTGTCGTCAGCTTCCCTTATTTATGCAGTAATATACCCTTATCACCTTCATATGGGTTTTTCCCAGTTGATCCGATACGCAAGAGCATGTTCTACGCATGAACAATTTCTTAAATGAGGCAAGCTATTGATAAACAAGTTGAAGAAACATATATATCGACAATCTCGTTTGAAGTCATCATTTCGCAAGTTTGTGTGGTCGATACAATGACCTTGTCTGCAAATACAATCTATCATTAAGTCAAATGCTGAATGACGTTTTTCATACTAATTGTTAGACCATTGTTTACACACTGAATG